CCCCTTGTAGTGCTGTTCTGGAAGGTGTGAAGGAATTATACCTGGAAGCTGCCCACCAAAATGGAGACATGATTGACCCAGACCTACAGACAGGTCTAGGGGTGCTGTTCCACCTGAGCGGAGAATTTAATAGAGCAATAGATGCATTTAATGCTGCCTTAACTGTTCGGCCAGAGGTAAGTGCATAGCAAGAAACCACAAGGTTCCATGTTAAAAAGAAGCTTTCGCAGGATACACTTTGTACGGTTCTGCTACACTTTATTTCCCTGCATCCAATGGTTTAAACGGATCAATACTAAGGATGTGCTCCTGTGGCTGTTAATACTTAAATACCTAAGCTAGAAACATGAATTACCTGCCAGCATCAGACAGTAGCTGCTCTTTGATGAATGAAGCCATCCATCTTTGAAGTCATTTCACGAAGTAGTCCATAGAGAGTTTTGAGTAATTCACCACCTCACAGTCCTTGTCCAGAGCACAGGATAAATTTTTAGCCATCATCCTTCTTCTGCAGGGAACATGGGAATACTATCACTGTGGCTTATACGGGTCGTTAGAGAGCTCTCATTTTGTCATCAGGATTATTCATTATGGAACCGTCTCGGGGCGACCCTGGCGAATGGAGACCGCAGCGAGGAAGCCGTGGAGGCCTACACAAGAGCGCTGGAGATCCAGCCAGGATTCATCCGATCCAGATACAACCTGGGCATAAGCTGCATCAACCTGGGCGCCTACAGGTGAAGTATGGTGGCGGGCTGAGAACTCAGAGTCACGCCCAGGGCTGAGGCTGAATTACCTGAAAGGTGCTTTCCCAGTAAAAAAGTCTTTTGTGGGAGTAATCCTTCTCCTTCTGTTATGAGTAAGCTTGGGACCTTCAGCTCTTGAGGCCTGTTGAAGCAGGAACAATTGGCTGTAGTGTTTCTCAGTCTTTCGAGAGTTGCGGTCATCTGATCATCTTGGGAAATGGAGGTTCCCAAGCTCTTCCAGAGACTTTTGATTCAGTCAACCTGGGTTGGGACAGGTTATCTAGGTTTTTTAACACCCCCCAAGGATAACTTTTTAAGAAATGTGAACAGTCCAAACCTTCGTTTTCCAGGTAAAGAAAAGAAAATCTTGGAGGATGAGACAGGGAACCCCAACAAAATGACTTAAGAAGGTCCCAGGGCCAGTTTTTGGCAAAGCACAACTGAGAATCCAAGTTCTCTAAACCTGAGTTTAGATGTCACTTAAAAACAATTTTTTTTAAGGAAAAAATTTTAAATGGTGGGTTTACAATGTGAAATGTCTTCCTCGTTCTCTCATGATTCCTCATTATCATTTGGGTCTGTACGTCTCTCTTTTCCCCATCAACAGGGACCAGACGTGACCTTTGTTTCTTTTGTGCAATGAAAGTTTGGGTGATTTTTTTCCCCTCTTTTCTATTTTTCTCTATTTTCTAAGTAAATAGGTATTACTTTCACAACTGGGATAAAAGAGAACTACATATTAGTTTTAAACCTCACAAAAAATGTAAACCCTTTCTCATTCTCAAAACAACCAGGCTTTTAGAATCAGACAAGTTTAGGTTCAAATCACAGCTCAGCCATTTACTGGTTTGATGATACTGGGAACATAACCTTGAGCCTCAATTTCTTCACCTGCTTAGAAAAAGAGAGAGAGGGGTAATAACATCTATCTTACAGGATTATTGTGCAGGTTAAATGTAATTGCCTAGCATAGAGCAGATGCTCAATACATAGCAGGAATTACTACCATGATGATTAGCCTTGCTATCATCATCAGTATCATTATTATTTAGACAAGTCATCAGAGAGCTACATTCTTTTGACTTCTGAAGAAATGATGTTTCTGAACTGCATTAGGGCATTGTACCATTGGCAAATATTGAGGCTTTAGAAACTATTAAAAAGTGCTTTATACCTCATTGCTGAATATCACTATGGTCATCTTCGAAGTACTCCCCTTGGGCAGTTATGCACTGACGCCAGCGCCTAGTGCACCCTTCAAAGCAATTTTGGAATTCTTTTTCTGGAATGGCCACCAGAGCTGTCGTCGTATTACCCTTGATGTCCTGAATGTCATAAAAATGTCTTCCTTTCAATATTTCCTTTATCTTNAAAAAAAAAAAGGTATATGTTATTATCCCAGATTCAGGAATGAGAACATTAGGACACTTGGTAACTAGTGGATCCTAGACAAGGACCCAGGGCTTCTGAATGTATGGAGACCCCAAGAGTAAGATAACAAATGACCTCTGGACAGTGAAAAGGATGCCACTCCCAAAGGGTAGGTCGAAGCCCCCAGAGTAAGACCATTTCATCAGTCTTTTCTTAGGATGCATTCTCAGATGTGTGGAAGTGAAATCAAAAGAGAGGCTGCTCCTTGTAGACTTGAAAGATTGAAAAAGAATCACTGATATTCTGGGGGAAATAATTAGTATCTTCTATGTGTAATAATAAGGGTAATAACAATAAGGGTAATAAAAATAAGGGTAAAAAACAATACAATTTTTACAGCACTTTAAGATGACTCTATGTGTTTCCCTGTAGCTTGGTTTTTAAAATATCCATAGCATTGATTTTCAAAGGTAAGAGAGTTTTATGCACTTCTCAAACCTTTTTAAATCCCTAAGACTCGGATACACCCTCACCCCCAGCAAATTTGAGGACTGTGTGTAATGAGAAGTTTTGTTGATGTGTATTGTTCTTGTAATGATGTGAGAAACATTGTTCTTAAAAGTGTATAAGTACAAATTTGTTATATTAAAACTTTCATTCTAGATATGAAAAACAATATCTGCTTGAAGATATTCTTCACATTATTTATTAAAACAAAGGACTGGAAACAACCTTAGAGCAATAATTGGGAATTGGCTGCGTAAATAATGGGATAGTCATTGGGAAAAATTTGAATTAAAAATCATAAGTAGGAGAATTTTATAAGTGCTTATAATTTAACAAAGTATTAAGTGTAAGCTATAAAATTATCTATATACATTAGATTGCAGTATATATGTGTTTTATGCATTTGAACAGTGATTATACTAGAGCAATGAACACATTCTGAGGGTTTGATTGTTTTGTTTTGTTTTGTTTTGTTTTCCCTTGTTTCTAAATTTCCTGTTACATCTTCTAATAGCTGCTTGACTTTTATTTATACAAGCTAATTTCATTGTGTACATCTTGAGACTTCTTATAAACTTAAGACTATTTAGCTACATTTCTGGGTTATTTTTCTACCTCTTTTCCTCACAAATACATAATTTTATATATCTATTTTTTGGTTTTAAGATACCTTATAGCATGAAATTTCAGAAACTCAGAGGTTTCCATGGGTAACAGATACTGAGAGACTAAACACTGAGAGTTTGTAAATAGTGACAGAGAGGGTCTTGACCCAGATGTCACAAGAACGTTTGAATGAAGAAACGCATGTGATGTTTTTCCCTTTTACAAGACTCTCACACCTGAGACAGGTTGCTCAGCACAGAGGGACCTGTCACAGATAAACAAACCAACTATAGCACATGAGTGATTCTGCTTCCTCTTGCAATGTTGACATTGGTTGTTTTTTGTAGGCATGGCAATTCCTCGGGATAACCCAGGCAGAGAATGAAAACGAACAAGCAGCTATTGTCGCCCTCCAGAGGTAGATTAAGCTAAATGCAAAATTATGGGCCCGGTGGACACTTGTTAATGGATTTCCTGTTGTTTCAGATTTGTCTTTTGACCCTTAAGTACATTGTAAAGAATTTGGCCAGGATAAGTACTGAAGTGCCACATTTTACTTGCACTTACTGTGGAAAACAAGAACTTATGAAGAAATAATATTCCTAAATCATAATGTTTTGTCACCTGCAAATCAATTGACCTTCATTGGCTCNTCAATTTTCATTGTCCAAATTTGTTTACATAGGTTGAAAAAACCTGATTGATTTAGTAAACTTTTTACAAACTATAACAAGCATTTATTAACTATTTAGAAAAGACCTTTCTATATATTTTGTATATCTATGAATACTACATATCTAATCTAACCTAAAAATACTGTTTTGAGATAAATTCTTCTGTGATGCTTCCTTATCATAATAATGTTTAAAATCTTGAGATTTCATTTTTAAGCTAAAATAGATAACAGAAAAATTTAGTGTTAAGTATTTACATTGAGTTTCTAACTTAAAATCCACCCAAATTATGTGTTCTATAGTAAATTAATGGCAAGGGGGAAGGGAGGGTGAAAGTCACTGGCATACTACGTGATAATATGTCTGTGTATTCAGTGAAATATTATGTATTATAGCACAACTCTGTTGGGTATTAATGCTTCTCCTTAGTATTTCCTTGTGTTGCTCTTTGAAATAAAATTACTACCATAAAAATAACCTATCATATTGATGTGTTTAATTTACTCAGTTGGCTTATAATTTACAAAGTACCAAGATTAAGGTAGTATTTTTGTACTATTATTGGAAGCATGTCTTCCCTTTTTCACATTATTAAATTGTATTTATATATTTGTGCAATTTTAAACTATGTTTTCAAATAAACTTTGTCTGTGGCTTCAAGGTCTTTTCAGAAATCTTTCAAAATGAGATTTGGGGATCAGAATTGCTTCAAACCAAATAGAATCCAATTTGTACTACTGGTTAAAAGATCCTTTTATTGAATATCATTACATATGATTTTGCGTGAGTTACCTGGAAATCGGGAATACATTTTTAGATATAAAACAAAATTTTAAAATCTTCCCCCTTTGTTAATTTTTAAAGACTAAAACATTATTTAACCTGAAATTGGATTTTGTGATTTTTTTTTTCAGAATAAAAGTATTAAAGTATATTTCAGTTTTAGGGTCTGCTTTTTGGTTTTCTCCTTTTTGGTCAGTCAGTAAATACTCAAGCACCTACTGTGTGCAGGTACTGTCCTAGTGTGGGACAGTGGCTAAGTAAATTAAATCAAACTTGCCCTTGAATAGCTTAGATTTCTGTGAGAGATCAACAAATACGAATGTCACATGCTGCGAGGTGCTAGAACAAGGCAAATAAGGTTATTATTATGAGGGTGACTGGGGCTACTTTATCTATAGGTGGTCAGGAGAGGTATCTGTTAGGTGATGTTTGGGCTGAGATTTGAACCAGCAGCAGCCAGCCCAGTGGAGCTGGGGACAAGCGTTCCTGGCAGAGCCAACAGCTAGTGCAAGATGCCAAGACAGAAACGAGCTTGGTGTGTGTGTCCAGGCAGAAGGGAGCCCAGGGTGGCGAGGGCTGTGAGCTGGGGTGACCTGAGAAGAGGCCCTGACATGGGCAGGTCATAGGAGGCCTTCCTAGAGCAGGGTAAAGGACAGACTTGCCCCCAAGCTGAGGAGAGATGCCACTGAGATGGAAGTGTATGTATTTTCAAAACATTTGCTAACTGAGGTCCTTGAATGGTCAGGTAGGTGATGAACAGCAGGCTCGGATGGAGAGAGAGGGCAGCTGGAGCACCCTTTCTCCCTCTTCACTGTCCCCTTTTGATCGGAGGCAGCGCTTGGTGGAATTCCATTTTCCCCTCTATAAAATCAAGCTGGACATCTTTCTTTCCCGCTTCACTGTTCTTCCATATAAGGTAAAAGTCCATCTGATTGTGGCTCCTCTCCCCACACCTTGCATAACTCAAACCTCTTTTAATGTTTCGTACCTCCATTTTTAAACATGAATTCCATTAATTTCCTCAAACAGCTGCTTCACTCCATGTGTGAATATAAAAGCAGCCTAAGGTTGGAACGGTTCTGTACATTTGTTTACACGGCCCCATAAGGTAATACCTTACCTGTGCAGTACTCCAGGGCTTATAGAGGGCTTTGTTTTTCTCTCCCTTTCTTATACCTCATAATAAATAATGCTGCCTGATAGTCATCTTAACAAATCAGAACTTTGGGAACTGACAGTTAATTTTAGTATCGTGCCCTATGGAACTAAATTACTGATTCCCAGTAGGTGTGAATTTGCTCACCTGAGTTTAGAAGGGTGGCAAACAGTCGGTATGACCTTCTGAGCCTAAGTTCTTTGAAAGAGAAACAGAAAGGAGGTAACATTTACTGAAACCTACCATGGGCCCGACTCCTAGACCAGATATTTCTAGTACTCTGACATTTTAACCCCAGTGGACACCAAGAACCTATGCCTTTACGTACAAATAATGCATCCAGTCCATAATTAATATTGCTGCAAATAATCAACATAATAGCAAAAACTGTGCCAGGTGAAAAAAAGAAGTCTTGTAGATTAAAAACTGACTAAAGATCATATCTAATACTAAAAATTGCAAAAATTGACCCAGGAAAAAGTAGGCTTGAGAGATGTTACCATGACGATGACGAAGCTTGTTCATAGTAAAATTTGCTATTGATGAAAAATTGACAAAAGAGCAAAATCTTGACAAAATTTAAATTTGTAAAATTTGGCCAAGGAAAGCTGGACCCAGTGGAAATAATGGCTGCAAAGGGGGAATTTGCAATAACAAAGGTTATTGGGAACAGGGAAATTTTGATGAGGACCGAAAGCTAAAAGATGACTCAGACTGTCTTATAAAATTTATAGAATTGATGCTAATTAAACTAATTTCGTTAAAATAGAATGGAAAATGTAAAAGCTTGGAAAGAGTTCAACAAGATAAATATTTCATACCTTCTCCTCTCTCCTCAAATCCCCCGTCTCCCCACACTCCCTCTAAGCTGACGATCTTGCTTTCTACTGCCCTGAGAAAATTAGAGCAGGCAGGAGAGAATTCCCAGACTCGGGGGCACGCTATCTTCTCCCCGCTGCATCTGAGCTCCGGGTCCCCGCTTCCTCCTGCCCCCACAAACAGGCTTCCCAGACCCTTAAAATTGGCTCCAACTTTGGCACCAGATCCCATCAAGCCTTCCCCCTCTTAGGTGATTTCAACTACATTCTTCAAATGCTCAAAACAAAACCTTTGGAGTCAGCCTTAGCTACTCTGATTCCTTCTCACCCCATATCCTATCCTTCAGGAAATCTTACTTGGCCGTGCCCTCAAGTGTACCCAGAATCTGACCACCCTTCCTACCTCCACTGCTACCACCCCATCCATCTGAGCCATCATGCTCTCTCACCTTGCTAACCACAGTAGCCCCTATTCCTATCCCTGCCCTCTATTATCTAGTTTAAACAAAGAACAATCTTCCTGAAGCTTTGGTCAGGTCGGGCCAGTGCCCTGCTCAGGACCCTGTCCGTGATGGCGCTCCACTGCACTCTCAAGTCAGGTTCTTCCTGTGGCCTCCTGGGCTCGGCACTCGGGCCCCTCTCTACCTCCTCTCCCTTCTCTCCAACCCTTGGTCTCCTTACTGTTTCTGACAAACCAGCTATGTTCCCACCCTAGAGCCTCTGCTCCAGCTAATACTAGTTCTTTTAACAAGCATATCTTTCCCCAAAGACAAGTTTGGATGACTCTCACCTCCTTTAAGTCTTGGTGCAAATCTCACCTCCAAACTACACTTTCCCTGAGTACCTTATCCAGTACAATCTTCCACAGCACTTAATATCTTTTACCATATTATATAATTTACTTATTTATGTTTAGTATCTGTCGCTCCCTGCTAGAAAATAAACTAGAGAAGGGCAGAAATCCTTGTCTACTTTGTTTACTGATACATCTAAGAAAAGCCATGGTTAGCACATAGTAGATGTTTAGTTATTTATTGAATGATGAACCACAATATGTTGATTAACAAAAATAATTGGCTTAATGGAATTATCTCTAGCAAAATACTTTTGAAAAAGTCATCAATGTTGGTATAATTCTGATTCTTTAAAAAAAATGTTCTTGGACTGAAACAAAGGGTCAAAACCTCCACAGGGTTAAAATGCTAATGTATNCGGGACAATCATATTGGGTCACCGTTCCCTTGGCTTTCTCCCAAGGTCACTCCCCATGACTCCTTGAAAGAAAGGCAGATCCTGTCCACCAGGAAACTTTAATAGAAAACTATGAGCTGTGCTTTCTCAGGCAATCTGGGTTTCAATGAAAACAGCGAATTAGCGATACTTAACTGGATTAGAATGTCCAGGATACACTTACTCTCACAGTCTTCTGCCCCTTTCCTCATTCTTTTCTTTAAAGAAGACTTCTGTTTTGAATCTCGGGTCCATGTCTAGATACTCATACTAGATAAATCTTTCTTATATATTCTTGCTATACAAGCAACACTCACACAATTGTAGCCAGTCCCACTTCTAACAGGAGCTCCCAACTCTTTACCATAAACTTTGTGAGTTCCTTGGGAATATAGAAAGCAAGGTGGTCATTTTATGTCCCTTCCTCATTTGCCCCTAAACCAGTTCCACAAGACTTAGTGGTTGTTGCTGTTGTTTTATACCTTGAAATGCTTCTAAAAGTTTTCTAGAAACAGGGTATTCTGAAGGCTTAGTTTGTGTGCCATCTTTCTGAGGCCTCCTATTTTAGAAATTATTATACATGCATACACATAATTTCAACTTTGTAAAATAATTTCAAATTCATTCCCTCTCCGAATTTTACTGCAGTTTCCCTATCTTCTCAATCGTTATAGAACTGGTTGAAATTAAACTGTTTTGAACTAAGGAGAAGATACTTTTTTTTTTTTTGGAAGAGTGTTTGGAGATGAACTCTGGCATATGGTTTGTAAAAAGGCAACTTTTAAAAAGTAAAACATATAACCTCAGGTATAAAAATAATGCATGCATTAGTACTTGCACATCTGCCTACTCAAATATTAACCAAAGCATGCAAGATAACTTTACTGAATGTAAATTTACTCAGTGCATGATTAAATCTCATAGGTTAGCTTATGTTTCCTTGTTTCTGAACAAGGAAGTGTTTTCATGAACTTTGTGTTACAGTTTTTCT